CATCAGTGAACAGTATGTTACTGTAACAAATACATGTGCCAACTATGACTCTGAATGATATAATGGAAAAACTGTCATGGCCGACACCAACAAGCACATGGCCATTGTCAAGTTTAGAAGTTAATTTAGCTTATCTTAGAATAAATAAGTGTTTGCCACTGATGCGGCAATGTCCCTCCGCCGCTAAAGAATGGAATTCTATATTTACTACTTTTTATTTTTGGGTCACATACACGATGCCTGAAATTACTGGTGTCTGCATAATCACCCAATGTAGGCTGTCAACATACTTGAAAACATTGGGTGCAATGTTTTATGAGATATCGCCTTTAAAAAGCGGTCAAAGTATCATGGTGACCTTGAAGATAAGGTCAAGGTCACCCAAATGAACTGGTGTCTGCGTAATACTCCAATGTAAACTGTCACCAAATTTGATGACATTGGGTACAACAGTCCATGAGATATCGTGTTAACAAGAGTTGAAAGTGTGAAAAGTGTCGTGGTGACCTTGAAAATAAGGTCAAGGTCACCCAAAATCAACTGGTGTCTGCGTAATCCCCCAATGTAGGCTGTCACCAAATTTGAAGACATTGGGTACAACAGTCGATGAGATGCCGTGTTAAGAAGAGTTTATAAAGTGTTCAAAGTGTCGTGGTGACCTTGAAATACACCTAAATACAGTGGTGTCTGCGTAATCCCTTAATGTAGGCTGTCACCAAATTTGAAGACACTGGGTACAACAGTGCATGAGATATCACGTTAACAACAGTTTGAAAAGTGGTCAGTGTCGTGGTGACCTTGATATAAGGTCAAGGTCACCCAAATCGACCGGTGTCTGCGTAATCACTGGGTACAACAGTGCATGAGATATCACGTTAACAACAGTTTGAAAAGTGGTCAGTGTCGTGGTGACCTTGAAAATAAGGTCAAGGTCACCCAAATCGACTGGTGCCTGCATAATCCCCCAATGTAGGCTGTCACCAAATTTGAAGACATTGGGTGCAACAGTTCATGAGATATCGCGTTAACAAGAATCGGGACGGACGTACGGACGGACATACGGACGCCGCTGAATACATAGTCCCCCGTTCCGCGTTGCGGCGGGGGACAATAACCAGATACTTTAATTTAAGTTAACATTTATATATTTTCTAGTTGATAGTTACAAATGTTTAACATGTTTAATAAATTTAGTAAACTTATGCCTAACATATCTTTAATGAAACTGTGAAAGGTTGACTCACCAACATATAAAGGAGAATGTATCTCAGTGGGGACTGGCACACACACTGAGGGACAATCTACAGGTGAGCAAAAAGAAAACTATGGCAAACCAATAGGGCCAATCACAGCCAAGAAGAGAATTGTTTGGCATAAGAAACCAATCAGTGGCAGGTAAGTGGCAATAAGGTGAGTCTACTTATAGAAAAGAAAATTGAAGTGAAATGGGATGATTCCCAATTCAGAAAGAGAAGAAGAACAAGATGGTGACCAGTGTTAGTAAACAAGCAAGACCAGACAATGACATGACATGACTGCTATTACAGCACCCAAATGGCACTTCAGGTAATTTAATATTTTAGGGAAAAGTTATATTGTTTTTGTTTTGTTGGTTTTGTGTATATTTTTTTTATTTTTTAATATAATGCAATATGCATGAACTGAAATAAGCCCAAACCATGTACAAAAATACCACACCTTCTCTTTTAGCAGAATGAAATATCACACGGCTACACACGCATAAAACTTCTGCTCAGCAAAAGTGATGACTTGTTGTGTTGTCTGGGGTTTGACTTTCTTCAAAAGAAGATTTCTTTCTTGATCAGTGGCGTATGTATGGATGGATGGATGTATGCATAGAGAATACTACACGAGGTCTCATTACATACGAATTATACGAAACGCTTTCGCTCGGTCAGATACCATAGGAAGGTCATGAGTTTCGTATAATTCGTATGTAATGAGACCGAGTGTGGTAATAGAGAATACTACACGAGGTTTCATTACATACGAACTATACGGAAGGAGTGTCCTTCCTATGGTATCTATAGGAAGGTCACGAGTTTCGTATAATTCGTATGTAATGAGACCGAGTGTGGTATTTTATTTATTACCCACGTCTTACATGTATTAAATTGACAAAATAGCGTATTTTTGATAGTTTTATGGTTTCAAACCGAAACCGGTTTCATAAAGAGGTTGCGGAAGAGTTTTGTACTGTAGTACAATATTTGCATGACGTCACACTGTAATGACGCCACTGCCTTGGTAACAGACGTCACGATGCATGTCAGTTGTCATCGCCTCATACAGCCTCCTTCAGTAAACTACTCCGTAGCACCCCGTTTCTTGGTTTGCAGTTGCTTCATTCGGCTAACATCACTGGTGGAAACATTGCGTTTATGTTTTTCGACGGATATAATGTCTCAGTTCGACTCACAATTAATCAGCGACGCGGCAACGTTAGCAATGTTTACATTCCCACAATGCATTTAAGTTGTAGAATGAATGAATTCACGTGTTTGTTATGAATGAAAAAAATAGTTATGTCAGAATGTGACCTAATTCAGAGGTCATCGGTTATCCAATCAAATCGTTAGAATCTCAGGTCAAGTCGTAACGACACAGGTCAACGCGATACGACACTCGTGTGACGTACGAGATTAGTATGCAACTACCCATACGTTGACCAAGTGGGTAATAATTTTGTATATTACCCACGTCTTACATGCATTAAATTGACAAAATAGCGTATTTTTGTTAATATTTTGGTTTCAAACCGAAACCGGTTTCATAAAGAGGTTGCGGAAGAGTTTTGTACTGTAGTACAATATTTGCATGACGTCACACTGTAATGACGTCACTGCCCTGGTAACCAACGTCACGATGCATGTCAGTTGTCATCGCCTCGTACAGTTTTCCTACGGTAAACATACTGGTAGCACCCCGTTTCTTTTTGCAGTGCGCTTTCGATTACGATCATTGGTGGAAACATTGTTTATGTTTTCGACGGATATAATGTCTCAGTTCGACTTACGAATTAAACAGCGACGCGGCAACGTTCGCGATGTTTACATTCTCACAATGCATTTAAGTTGTAGAATGAATGAATTCACGTGTTTGTTACGAATGAAAAATAGTTATGTCAGAATGTGACCTAATTGAGAGGTCATCGGTTATCCAATCAAATCGTTAGAATCTCAGGTCAAGTCGTTACGACACAGGTCAACGCAATACGACACCCGTGTGCCGTACGAGATTAGTATGCAACTACCCATACTTTGACCACGTGGGTAATAAATGCATGGGACCTGAGATTCTAACGATTTGATTGGATAACCGATGACTTCTCAGTTAGGTCATGTTGTGACGGAACTACTTTTTCATTCATAACAAACACGTGGATCCATTCATTCTACAACTAAATGCATTGTGGGAATGTAAACATCGCGAACGTTGCCGTGTCGCTGTTTTATTGTGAGTCGAACTGAGACATTATACCCGTCGAAAAACGTAAACGCAATGTTTCCACCAGTGATGTTAGCCGAATGAAGCAACTGCAAACCAAGAAACGGGGTGCTACGGAGAAGTTTACTGTAGGAGGCTGTACGAGGCGATGACAACTGACATGCATCGTGACGTCGGTTACCAAGGCAGTGACGTCATTACAGTGACGTCATGCAAATATTGTACTACAGTACAAAACTCTTCCGCAACCTCTTTATGAAACCGGTTTCGGTTTGAAACCAAAATATTAACAAAACTACGTTATTTTGTCAATTTAATACATGTAAGACGTGGGTAATAAATAAAATACCATACTCGAAAGTCTCATTACATTACGATTATACGAAACTCGTGACCTTCCTATAATTATTCGACTCGCTTTCGCCTCGGTCAGATACCATAGGAAGGACACTCGTTTCAAATAATTCGTATGTAATGAGACCTCGTGTAGTATTCTCTATGTATGTGCTAGAAAAAAAATACGCAGATGCGTTTGGTTATATACAGTACAACCAGAAATTATTGAGAATTTAAGATTGTAATTTTATTTATTTTTATCACTCATTACTCACGTATTAAATGTGAATATTAGCAGAACATAACTCCAGATTCAAAGACAGGTTAACACTTAGTATTTTGTCAAGTCACCATGGGCAGCAATGCAGGCTTCAATGCGGCGGGGCATACTTCTGATCAAAGAAGTTACTGTCGGAAATGCTAGAAAAATGCTTTTTAGCCTTAATATCTTTATAAAAGTGATAAATGTACTATGTTGTCAATATATCAACTCGTCTATTGTCTACCTAATTTTTATTTCAACCGATTTAACATTCCCATTCATTTAAAGGGCAGTTTACAGGAGAGAATTTGGTACCAAAACAGCAACTTAAGATTTTTTCAGAGTTCAACAACAGAAATCTGAAATAGTCTTTACATTTATGCTAATAATACAGGTGATGTAAAAATATGAATTAACGTGTTTCTTAAACAAATAAATGTTGAATGTTTGTGTTACTTTACTTAATTATCGTTTCTTTATTGAAGAAATATAATATAAATGTTAAGTCTTGATAAATAAGTTTCCCGTCATGCATGCACATCTTTATCATAACGTCCACTATGGCCAACGATTTGCAGTCGATTGTTGCAAAGGTTTATAGGTTGTTTCTGCTGAAAAAAGACAGATGTAAACCTTTCATTAGTTTAGAAAGGGTTTATTACAGAACTTGCAGAGCTGTTGGCATGTCTTACCAACAAGTTTAAAATATTGTAAACAAATCATACAAGACAGGGACCGTCTCAAATGCAAAACCGGGACGTAAAACCATCCTTGACAACTTTGACAAGGGAGTGCTTAGACGGGCGGTCTACAAACGTTATGAGAAGAAGAATATATATATTCTAAAGAAGCTACACCAGTGACTTCGTTAGATTAAACTGTTCGAATTACATCCATATTTTGTCAATGAAATATACTGTTGACATGCAAAACATTTATTAAAACGTTGCACATTTCTACAATCAATCGATAAGATAACACAAGTGATAGGATTCTTTCCAATGTACAGTAATTCGTATGGGTATTTCAAAACAAACACACATACACAAATGATCCCTTACATAACCGATACGTATACTTTACGTACACATATTCAACATTTTGCAGAAAACATCTATTGAGATGACCCCTCGCCCGAGCTTGTGCTCAGGTGTCAATTTCACCTGTCGATACCGTGGATGCTGATGACGTAACACAGGCAGTTAATGTTTGTATCAAATAACGTCCCACTACCCCCTTATTTTTCTAAGTTTTTGGTATTTTCATCAGTAAAAACACATTTTAGAGCATGTCTCAAAATTTATTCCCTCGGTCTACATTAGGTAGATGTTTCTTGAAGCGATATTTGTTATTTAAGTAACTGTAATACCTCTGAATTTTAAATATAAGTCAAAAAGCATTTTTCTAGCATTTCCGACAGTACTTATTTATAGGAAGTCGTGATCCATGCTGTCCCAATATCGGACCACCTCTTCTTTCATGTCAGCAATATTTGTCAGGTTTTTCTTATTGACACTTTCCTTCATAAGTCTCCAAACATTTTCTATTGGATTTAGGTCAGGGCTATAGCTTGGCCAATCTAATAATGTCATATTTTGGGTCCGAAACCAGGCCTGTGAGTGCTTTGAACGATGTTTTGGGTCGTTGTCCTGCTGACAAATCCAAAACTTTCCATAGAACACGTGAGCAGATGGAAGTAAATGTCCCTCGAGAATATCTGTGTACCGCTCACTGTTCATATTCCCTTCAAATACACAGAGAGGCATTGCCCCTAACACAGATATGCCACCCCACACGTTAAATTTCGGACTGTACTTTGGGCGCTGATACAAAGGTTTTTCAGTTTGTTTGGTCCAGAATTTCAGTGTATTAGGAAACAGCCACACAGAACTTTCATCTGAGAAAATCACATTGTCCCAGTTAAAATTTCTATGCTGTAAGCACCAGTTCAACCTTCGCTCCTTTTGTTCAGGTTTCATGATCGGTGATGGAATTCCTCGACTTTTCTGCCAACCCATTGCATGCAGCTCAGTTCTAATTGTCTCCTTACAGACAGCCACAGTTCCTCTATCAATCATATCCAGCCTTAAGTTTTCTAAACTCCTTCGTTTGTTTTTAGAAACAAGAATACCAAGCCGCCTCCTGTCACCGACAGTCAATTTTCTGGGCCTACCTGCGCCTCCCTGGTGCTCAATGCCATATCCATTTGCAATATTTTCAAAACACGATAAACAGTGGACAAAGGGATGCCTGTTCTACTTGAAATCACTTTAGCTGATCTGATGTCCTTGTTATAATACTCTAAAATCAACTTCCTCTTCTCTAAATCATCCATACTGAGGATCACTGAAAATGTCGTCTGCTAGCAAGTAAACAAAGGGGGATAACTCTTCACAAACTAATGAAAAAGGATTAACGGAGTTGTCTCTCTTGAATGAAACCAAGCACTTGATAGCTGGTCAAGGTTGTTTATACTAGAAATCCACTAAACATATTCCTAAAATTTCAATAATTTCTGGTCATACTTTGACAAAATAGCGTATTTTGTTAATATTTTGTTTCAAACCGAAACCGGTTTCATAAAGAGGTTGCGGAAGAGTTTTGTACTGTAGTACAATATTTGCATGACGTCACACTGTAATGACGTCACTGCCCTGGTAACCAACGTCACGATGCATGTCAGTTGTCATCGCCTCGTACAGCCTCCTACAGTAAACTACTCCGTAGCACCCCGTTTCTTTGTTTGCAGTTGCTTCATTCGACTACCATCACTGGTGGAAACATTGCGTTGAAGTTTTTCGACGGATATAATGTCTCAGTTCGACTTACAATTAAACAGCGACGCGGCAACGTTCGCGATGTTTACATTCCCACAATGCATTTAAGTTGTAGAATGAATGAATTCACGTGTTTGTTACAAATGAGAAAATAGTTATGTCAGAATGTGACCTAATTGAGAGGTCATCGGTTATCCAATCAAATCGTTAGAATCTCAGGTCAAGTCGTTACGACACAGGTCAACGCAATACGACACCCGTGTGCCGTACGAGATTAGTATGCAACTACCCATACTTTGACCACGTGGGTAATAAATGCATGTATGTGCTAGAAAAAAAATACGCAGATGCGTTTGGTTATATACAGTACAACCAGAAATTATTGAGAATTTAAGATTGTAATTTTATTTATTTTTATCACTCATTACTCACGTATTAAATGTGAATATTAGCAGAACATAACTCCAGATTCAAAGACAGGTTAACACTTAGTATTTTGTCAAGTCACCATGGGCAGCAATGCAGGCTTCAATGCGGCGGGGCATACTACTGATCAAAGAAGTTATAGGAAGTCGTGATCCATGCTGTCCCAATATCGGACCACCTCTTCTTTCATGTCAGCAATATTTGTCAGGTTTTTCTTATTGACACTTTCCTTCATAAGTCTCCAAACATTTTCTATTGGATTTAGGTCAAGGCTATAGCTTGGCCAATCTAATAATGTCATATTTTGGGTCCGAAACCAGGCCTGTGAGTGCTTTGAACGATGTTTTGGGTCGTTGTCCTGCTGGAAAATCCAAAACTTTCCATAGAACACGTGAGCAGATGGAAGTAAATGTCCCTCGAGAATATCTGTGTACCGCTCACTGTTCATATTCCCTTCAAATACACAGAGAGGCATTGCCCCTAACACAGATATGCCACCCCACACGTTAAATTTCGGACTGTACTTTGGGCGCTGATACAAAGGTTTTTCAGTTTGTTTGGTCCAGAATTTCAGTGTATTAGGAAACAGCCACACAGAACTTTCATTTGAGAAAATCACATTGTCCCAGTTAAAATTTCTATGCTGTAAGCACCAGTTCAACCTTCGCTCCTTTTGTTCAGGTTTCATGATCGGTGACGGAATTCCTCGACTTTTCTGCCAACCCATTGCATGCAGCTAAGTTCTAATTGTCTCCTTACAGACAGCCACATTTCCTCTATCAATCATATCCAGCCTTAAGTTTTCTAAACTCCTTAGTTTGTTTTTAGAAACAAGAATACCGAGCCGCCTCCTGTCACCGACAGTCAATTTTCTGCGCCTCCCTGGTGCTCAATGCCATATCCATTTGCAATATTTTTCAAAACACGATAAACAGTGGACAAAGGGATGCCTGTTCTACTTGAAATCACTTTAGCTGATCTGATGTCCTTGTTATAATACTCTAAAATCAACTTCCTCTTCTCTAAAACATCCATACTGAGGAGCACTGAAAATGTCGTCTGCTAGCAAGTAAACAAAGGGGGATAACTCTTCACAAACTAATGAAAAAGGATTAACGGAGTTGTCTCTCTTGAATGAAACCACGCACTTGATAGCTGGTTAAGGTTGTTTATACTAGAAATCCAATTAAACATATTCCTAAAATTCTCAATAATTTCTGGTCACACTATAAAACCATCAGGAGATGTAGCAAACTGACTTCAAGTGAAAACCATTTACACATGTAACTGAACACAAAGTGAAATCTTGATCAACAACGGAGCTGTTACTTAAGACATTGTTTCATGCATGGGTGCTCATTGAGTTCTTCCAGGTGAGCGGAAACGGAATTTGATGTGGGACAGAAATACACCGGCCCCAAACTGAGCTATATATTGTGCGCGTCTGGCGAGAATAATACGCTCGGTCTCCCAAGCAGTTACTAACCTACCCCAGTTTTTTTCAAGACACTTGATTGACGACTTGATATGAACAAAAAAAACAGACAGGGATGGGGTGGGAATGGGTTTGAGCGATATGAAGGTCGGGTAATGGTGTGTGTGTGTGTGTGTGTGTGTGTGAACTCACCCAGTGTTCTGCCAAACCTACACGAACGAATGGCAACCGCAGAATACATATTTACACAAACGTATGTGACATTTACAGAATCATTTCTATTATGTACAGATGTAAGCATTTTATCAACATAGTATTAGTAAAATCGTTCATGAATGGGGATATTTATTTCATTCAATAGTTCTACACAAGCAGACTATATTTGAGCTTAATAGACCTACCAACATTAACAAGTTCATATACATAAGTACAAAACCATCAACTCTTGTGACATTTTCACTGAGGGAATAAACATAAATGCTACTGAAGACAAACCCAATTAACTCACAAAAGATTATTCATGTTCAAAACCTTATCTTGGTAAGAATATTTTGCTGCTTTTCACCAACTTCTGTTCTGCTATGAAAAATATGTAGGGGATTACGGATTGCATGGTTTTCACCCAACATTGAATTTCTCTACTGCTCCCTAAGTAAAGAACTCTCCGACAGAAAGTTAATATTCATATGCATGGTCCGTCTGCTGACCTTGGTGGCTAATGTTGGATGTTAGTGGAGAGCACTCCAAGCACAGGGGTTCGAATCACTGTTTGGACAATAATTCTAAAAAATACAAATCTAGACTTTTGCAATTGTATATTGTCTTTATATGTTATAATTAACCTTTACTTCAAATTTGAATGAGACCAGTGAAGAAATGAATTTTTAAGAAAGTTCTACCGCTGCACTCATTACATAAAATACAGAAAATCATTTCTTCACCAATCTCGTTCAAATTTGAAATATAGGTTAATCATAACATATAAAAACAATATACAATTGCAAAAGTCATGATTTTTATTTTTGAAAATTATCGTCCAAAAATTGTTCGAACCCTGTGACTCAAAGTACACATGGAGAGAAATAATTAGGTCAGCAGAATATAGCATTTCACAGGGAAGAGCATGTCAGGTGTCGAGGCGGTGCAGAGTTCATCCCTAAGGTCACTGGAAACAAAAGCTCATGGGTCAACTGCACGACAACTCCCTGAACATTTCTTTTCTAGAATCAACCGTTTCTTATTGTATCCTGTCTGTATAAAACCTGCCTCATAACCACTGGTTTAATTTGTCTGGATTATTTACATACATGCATCTGAATCTTGCCAAGCACTATGTCCAACAACAAAACAACACACCCTGACAACAAAACAACACACTCTGTCAGCCATGTAACATGATCTCATGAAGACTTTGGCCAACCTGTACTCTCAACAAGGATTTCGACATTACATCAGTAATCATCACACAGCGACCACAGACAACCATGATCTGTTTAACATAATTTACTTGCCATAAACACTACATGATACATGTCTGCATATTCAACATTCCTTCAAACAATAATCTGTTAAGATCCAGATGACTCAATATTCGTCACAATTTTCAGTATATTCTTTGCTTGCAGTAGTAGAGGCATGTCAATCATGTTTCCGTGAAAGGTGAAGGCCCCCTGAAATATAAAACACCAGATATGTGTTACTGAGTACAGAGTCAGAGTAAATACTGTCTTATTAATGATTACACCCTGGCAGGAATTTTAACAAACATATCAATCCACATGGTTCATCCAAGATATTTTTATGGATTAAACTTCTTTTTTAATTTCTCTCACAACGTTTCGAGACCATTCCAGGTCCCTTCATCAGGTGAACTGGCAGTTAGGACTATGACGTCGTCACTAAATGCCACTGAAAGACATCACATGGTTCATGTTATGAAATTGATGCCAAAATTATCCAGGCAATTAATGTGAAACAGAGGTGCCAGTCACATGCATTTAAATTATTTTTTGTCCCATGACCAACTTAAAACAAAATTAAAATCATATATACGAAACATCTGCACAGTTTAGTCATATATTCATGGGATCCCCAAATCCATGTTTTGAACTTATGAGGAGTTAATACTCATTACTGGGGTAGTCAGTGTTGTTAAATTACATTTGTGACGTCATTCCATGTCCATTTCAGGAATGGAGCGATTTGTACCAGTTTCAAACTAAAGCCTTCATTTTGTCATATTGACATTTAATTTTGATAACAGAAATATTCCCAATACTTTGAATGTAATTCAAGTAGGATAATATCCTCGTAACTCTCCATTCCTTAAAAATAATGTGTTATCAAAATTAAATGTCAAAATGCCAAAATGAAGGCTTTAATGTGAAACTGGTACAAATCGCTCCATTCCTGAAAAGTAATGGAGCAAGCAGACAATGGAATGACGTCACAAATGTAATTTAACCTCTACACCACAATGTTCACCAACATCATGTTTTGTGTGCAACATGCTACAGCCTTGTAACTCTACACATTGCCTTGGTATCACCCAACGGTAGGATTCAGGGCTTGAGTAGGAATGCGGCTTACTGTATGTCACTGTTTGATTTAATGTAGACATACCACTACATCAGTTCAACTGGATCTCTTTATGGAAGAGGCAATTTCTAAATATTTCAGTAGGAAATAGTTTTCAGCAGTGTTGAAATTTTTTCTATGCGTGTAGATTTGTAAAGTTGGGATACACACGTTTCAAGAGATCTGCATACCTTGCCTGACTCTTGGTGCTGTTGAAATGCTGCGACCAGTTCCGTCGCCCACTGCACTCTCTCCTCACTGGGAGTGAATGCATCTCGAACTGTGGAGACCTGACCGGGGTGGATGACCTGTTTCCCAGTGTAACCCATCCTAGCCCCCTCCAGCGACTGATGGCGTAGAGACTCTGTGTCTGGAGAGAGACCACATCTGTTACAAGCCTGAATTACATCTCCTTGTATGAGTGGGGAAGGCTTTACACCGCTTTTAGCAATGTTCAAGGAATATCACGAAAGGTAACACCAGAAACAAGCTTCACACATTGTACATGTGCAGGGAATTGAACTCAGGTCTGCGGTGTCACAAGGAAATGCCTTAACCACTATGCTATCCCAACACCCCTCTCCATACATAGCAAACTAATTTTTGCAAAATAATACTGTCCTCTCTTGGTGCATGTCTGTGTGTCCCTCTGTCCATCTCTCTACCTTCATGTGTGTTGTTTAATGCCCCTTCATCAATATTCAAGCAGCCTGTAAATATCCAAGACAGATACTGATATCTCAAGCAATGATCCACCCCATTAAAGTAATATAACACACCATCACCCAAGTCACCAAGTCTGGGCCCCGTTCCTCAAAGTGAGGTGAGGTGAAATAGGGTTTAACATCGTGCTTGAGAATATTTCGCTCATATGACGACATGCATGCATGTGTATGTGTATGTGCGGCTGCTTGTACTAGCCCAGACTGAAGCTGGTTTTATAGTGCTAGCCCACTGAGATACCATGCCGCAGTGAAGCATGAATACCCCACTCAGACACATTATACTGACTCCGAGCCGACCAGTCCTTGTTGTACCCATTAATGCCGAGCGCCAGGCAGGGACCAACAAGTACCATATTTTAACGTCTTTTGGTATGACGCGGGCAGGGTGCACACTTCAGTTTCACGAGAGTTTCAATGGTCATTTAATAAACCTTCAGGACAAAAGGGGGGAAGGGGGTGCACACCCCTGCACCAACACCCCACCCCTTCTGGATCCACCTATGGCTAACCTAGCTCTACACTGATTAGCGAGGTCCTCATGTCTTCCATACATTCCTGATTATAAGGCAATAACGATCAAACATGGACTGCGGAACTATTTTGTTCTATAATCCCAACAGGGTAGCACATGGAGAACTACCTTTGATATTGATGAAGACCAGGTCAATGGCCTGCAGTCGGAACGCCTTGGCCACCATGACCACCTTCTGTCTGGCGTAGGTCAGTTCCCTTGCATCTGTCGTCCTCACTGCCCCTGGTACACAGAAAACAGGCACTTCAGTCTCATCATCAATACACATCAGTAAATATAGCACACATCCACAAGAAATGTTCACTGTCCCGTAGGGCTGGGACGGGCTGGGACGGGTGGGTAATGAGTTGGATCCGGGTACCCGTCTCAATACCCGGACCCGTTATGATCATGTGACTAATAGATTCAACAATGCAATATGTTATTCTTTAATGATTAAAAGGTTGTCTTGTCTTGAAGATTTAGATATAATTTACAGTCACCTGTTTTGAATATAATACATGGTTAAGATATTGAAAAACTCAGAATTTTAGCCTCCGAGCTGAAGAATATATTGCCATTTCTTACAAATTCGATTTCAGGGATTAACATAACAGGTATCCAGGTAGGGTAGGGTAATAGGGGGTGGGGTACCCGGATAGAAAATTTGGACCCGTCCCAGACCTACTGTCCCGCTCCCACTATATCATAAGTGTTGGTAGTCCAGGGCTCCAGATAATTTTTCAAAATCAGGAGTACGTACTCCATATTTTTTCAATATAAGCGTACTGGAAAAACTTAAGAGTACATTTAGAGTACTGAATGGAATTTAATGGCATATCAGTAATCTTGTGTTTCGTTTCATATATGCACCACAACATTGCTACTCTTGTGTAAACAGGTCAATAAACAATAAAACAATACTTTTTTCAGATAAATATGTCTGTTAATGATTCTAAGACCGTACACCATTGCCGTGGTTCTTATCTGCTACGTTTTCTAAATTATTTCTACCGTATCGTGCATATGTTTTATCCGTACATACGCGCCGATACGGCCCTTATCTGGAGCCGTGGTAGTCAATGGTGTGCCATGGTTTGCAAAACATTCAGCTGATTCATCATCCATATCATTATCCACAAATATTGACCAGAGGTTGAGGAGAACATCAAGCAGGTTGTCAATCTTGAAAATGCCACCTAAACAGCTTTAGATTTTACAATCTAAACAGCTAAAGACAACATCATTTTCAAGTTCTTGGGCTACTAACAGACTTGTCTTTCAAGTGAGCTGGTTTGGGCAAATGATTTATCAAAATTAGAAGGCCGATTCATATTCTATCTCTGTCAAATCCGTAAAGTTCAATCAGGATATTCTTACCAATATCTGCACAGAAGTCGTCTGAGCCAAACACGACACCGTCCATGTAGAACACACCTTGTGTGGAGTACTGTCTGGCCCTCTGCAGGACATCCTGCATGTTTAGAACGCCCTGGGCACTCTCCACATAGGTCAGTAGGTATGGACAGTAGTCCTTGCGGTCAGCAGTTACAGATTGCAGGAGGTCAGTGAACTGCAGCACACAGTACACACTGATGGTTATAGCACATCAAACAAGCTTTCTGCTTCACCTAGGGTTTACGTCCGTAAATAACATTTGTCTAGAGAGTGACCATGAAAACTTAATTGTATGGCAATACAAAGTATGAAGAATGTACATGCAACAAACAAAACACATCACTTCCTTATCAGGGCATATGGAAAACTTTTGGGTAAATAACTGCCTTTAATTTCATCATATACATCTAATATATGTGAAACAATATTTATAACATTAAAATGGCTTAAATAAATGACCAACAACCAACACACATGTGTCCCCTCTCTGACCTGTCAGCAACACACATGTGCCCCCACTCTGACCAGCAACCAACACGCATGTCCCCACTCTGACCTGTCACCAACACACATGTGCCCCCACTCTGACCAGCAACCAACACACGTGTCCCCACTCTGACCTGTCACCAACACACATGTGCCCCACTCAGACCTGTCACCAACACACGTCACCCCACTCTGACCTGTCACAAACACACGTGTCCCCACTCTGACCGGCTCTGACCGGCAACCAACACACATGTGCCCCCACTCTGACCTGTCACCAACACCCATGTGACCCCACTCTGACCTGTCACCAACACACAAGTGCCCCCAAGTTCTGATCTGTGACCAACACACAATTTCCAAATCCATAGATTTGAGACATGCAAACTATTTCCACAACCTTCACACAATTCACCTGTGTTAGATCTTCTACGGTGTCCACTTTAGGCAGGAGTATCGTTTGAGGAAGTCTGTCAGCCTTGAAGATGACCCTCAAGTCCTCCTCAACAAGACCACTGGAAACAGAGTTGACTCTGACAGCACAGTCCACTCCTGAGAAGTCCACTTCATCCAGCATCTGACGGATGTTCTCTCGAGCGTCAGCCTAAAACATAAGTTCAAGGGATGAGGATGTCAAGTGTCAAACAAATGGACAGCTTCGAGGAGGGCTTCAGCGAAACACAAATTCAAATGATCCATTAGGTTGCTTCTTATCAGCATTTTTTAGTGTACAGCAAAGATTTACAATTATGCAAGCAGATGACAAAGAGTTCTTGGCTGGAAAGCCCCAGTTTAATTCACAAGTACATGTGTGCAGGCTTTTACACAATGAGCAGTCATTACTTGGAATCATGACTGCCAAACATAACATAACAACCATATTACCAAAACACAACATGATATGCACAGTGGCAATACACTACAGCATCTGCGCAGACAGTGGAAGGTCAGTTACTTCATCCCTTGTTGAGTCATACCCAACAAACTGTGTTTTAAAGATGGTACTTGTTACCACCCACCCTGAATCTCACCATTATGGTAAAATAAGAATTACTGGCCAAGCCAAGGGGACAGTGGAGGAGGCTAGGGGTTAAAGCGTTCGCTCGCCATGCCGAAAACCCTGGTTTGATTCCCCACATGGGTACAATGTGGGTAGCCCATTTCTTTTGTCCCCCACCTTGATATTGCTGGAATATTGCTAAAAGTGGTTTAAAAAAACAGATTCTCACTCACTCTTACAACTAGCTCAAGTTCTTGAGAGTTATATTCCTAAATGATATTTGACTGGTTTAAGCTAGTGGGTAGCTGCAGATATTTGTAGAAGTACATTCCGGCACTCTGGCTGACCAAAAGACAACCATGGCATGTAACAAACTATAAACAGCCTAATATGTTGCAATTCATAGGCATCAACATTCACCAATGCATCATCACATCTATATTCTCAGACAACACAATATACACCAAGCTCTATTCATCAATATATTAATATATGTTTTGGCAAAACGTGTCCAACCTACATTTTTATGAACAATTAAATTATCAACAATATATGCTATATCCACATTGTACATTGAGTATACATGAGATTGAAAGACTTTAATTCTTTCCTACATTTGCTAAAGCACAAGTGGTGCTGAGGCCCCAGTTTATATCTGTAATCTAAATAAAACTGATTGAAACAAGACATATTCAGATTGAAAGTTTAGACTAGAGCAGATATTCAACGGCTTGCAAGATTTTCAATCACTGTTTATGATCTATGAAACATAAAAATTCATGCACAAGTTATTTCGAATTCAGTAACACAATACATGCATGAACAAAATCTTGCATTAAATACTATATTACGAAATAGTCCTATCATGACACACCTTGTCTTAGTTCAGCTAATAGTGTACACTGGGAGTATGGTGGAACCTGGTTTAACTTTTAAGTACCTTCTGACTAAGAGCCACTCCGTCTTCGCACTCCAACACAGCACAATCCACTCCGAGCTTCGGCACTTTCCGCAGCTTCTTCACATCATGTCCAGGTACGTACATCAGGGTCCGCCTCGGGATGTACGGCCGATCATGGTAGGCTTCTGACCTGCTCGAGTAGTGTCTGTGTGGGACAGAGCAGGGCGGGGTGCTAGGGGATGAGGGGGAGTAGATCTACTGGGGGTACACGGAGAGTCTGTACTGCACACACCCTGGAAGTCTGTGACATCAGTTGCTTCACACAACCGCATAAAGCTGAAAGGGTCCTCATCTTCATCTTCTTGACATAAAAGAATGAGAAGAACATTGGTTGGCATGAGCAAGGTGCTTGGGTACAATAACTGCGACATAGTAATGGCTGTATCAACTGTGTGTAGACACTGGGATAACAGGAATTATTGAATTATCTGTTTCTTGTGAATAAATAATGCTCTACCAAAGACCATAACTCTTCTGTATGACTTATTGTATTACATGCATGATTTGCATGACGTTTAACTGTAACGTAAAAAAGCTGGAATCAAGGCATATACTGTCACCAACAGGTTATTATACTGGACAGTATATATACCTTAATTGATGCCACAGAACTTTCGCTATGGTTATGAGCATATTTATGTACGTTGTTGTACGTAATTCAATGTATTCACCCATTCCTTACCTCCTTCAGTTGGGCTTATCAAAGCCTTCCCACCAACATCTGATTTCTTGAATTGACTGCCCGCAAGCGGGTTCTTATTCGTTCTTTTTGTTAACTAGACATAGAAATCCTCAGTTCTGCGGCCATGAACTGCGGGGCTATAAGTTGAGAGTTACCTCCCCTTGACCATTGCACTTGACAGTTCAGGAAGCGTTCCACTTGTTTCTACAGCCGAACGTGCGTAATATCACATATAAGCATAAAGGTCAAAATAGGGCTGATTTTTTAAATAGACAATTTATTCCAGGACATGATGAAACTATATATTTCAATAATGTTTGATTTCGTGTACTCCTCAGCAGTATAACATAAGTTGCAGATATGTGTAACACTGTCTTTCTGGTAACGAAGTTAGTTGGTTGGTTACAGTATTTGTTTTGTTGTTGTTGTTGTTGTTATTGTTTTGTTGTTGTTGGGGTTTTTGTTGTTGTTTCATGGGTTTTTCTACTTTTTGTCCGGGATTTTAGCCCATTTTGCTTTTTTTTTATTCGCTTTGTGTGTGTGTGTTGTGTGTGTGTGTGTGTGTGTGTGTGTGTGTGTGTGTGTGTGTGTGTTTGGGGGTTGTTTTTGTTTTTTGTTTGTTTGTTGTTGTGTTTTTTTGGAGGGTGGGTCTAAAAGGTGACTTTGCTATAGCTAAGCTGTAATACTGTTTAAAAAACGTTCCAATCACTCATGATCACATGCCACAATTGTGGAAGGGTGAATATTGAGCAAACTATATTACCCATCAAAAGTTTAGACTCACTTAGAGCACTCACTATATGTTATGTATATATATATGGTTACATCGAAGATGGGTGAGTGAGTGAGTTGGGTTTTACGCCGCTTTTAGCAATATTCCAGCAATATCACGGCGGGGGACACCAGAAATGGATACATCGAAGATGCATTTCTCCACTAACTTGGGGGAACCAACTGCAAACCTTATGCAGATGAAATGCGCAAGGATCATGCATCAAATTTCTGAAAAGCATGACTGTGCAAATATCGTGCATGTGAACAGCTGCGTTTTGGTGTAAAGTTTTGTTAAGAATTCGCCAATTTTCACCGAGTTTAATCATTTATTGAACTCAGGGATAATAATCTTTTCAACGTTACGAATTTGTTTTACAATACATTAGTTCATGTGTAAACAGTACCTTTAAACAGTATGGAATATTTTGCAAAATCTAGTTTAGAACAGTTGACTGAAGTAAGTGGCTACATTTACACTAGTGAGTCTAAACTTTTGATCGGTAGTATATATATAACGATGTTAAATCTCAGACCATGGTTGGTTTGTTTAAACATGGTATAGGTAGCTGAATGACGAAATGGATATTCGCCTATACCTACACTTGTGACACCTGATTTATCTAGAAGGAAGTAGGAGTAAAGAGCATAATATCACAGTGGTTATCTGGACAATTGTGGCTACATTAACATGTGTCAGTATCTGAAGTACACTTACAGTTAGTCATCGTATGAACTTTGAATTTTCCTTGTCAGTCAAGTTGACCTATATTTTACACAACACTGTTAAACTTTTTGTCTTTCAATCGTCATTCGCTTCTGGTCTGTGATGTTTATGTACATAGTATCCCGGTCGAAATCCTCAAAACAAAATTACACTCTGATTGGATCTAATGATCTTTGTAGTTATGAAAAGCTGATTCGTTGATTCAGTGATTCCAGTCCGTTTAGTCGGTTCAAAATGTAGTATTTTTGGTATTTTCTCGTTATTCTTGTAAAATATATTGTTCACGAATTAGAGACCGATGTGTCCGACTATTGACAAACCGCACAAGAACTGCACTGGTGTCATTTGGTACGTGACTGGTTCGTTCCACAAGGGGACGGTGGGGTTAAAGCGTTCGCTCGTCACGCTGAAGACCCGGTTTCGATTCCCTACATGGGTACAATGTGTGAAGGCTATTTCTGGATTCCCCCCCGCCGTGATATTGATGGAATATTGCTAAAAGCGGCGTAAAACTAAACTCACTCACTTAGTCACTCATTCCATAAGCTGCATGTTTTACCTCTTTGAAACTCATAAATCACTCATTTCTGTATTCGTTTCCTTAACCAATGTTTCATTCGAGGAAATACGTTTTCAAACAAAGGTTTACATCGTAGGTGATACCCCGGATGTTGATGTCCCCCATTCTCGTCCCCCACGCTGCCTAGTGACGCTGTTCCACTTCCCTTGACAAATCGGATATTTTGAATATAATGTATTCCTGGCGTCACATCCGGCAACCTGGTTCGCTGGGTACGGTGCGCTGACGCTACACTGACACAGGCAATGACTACACAATGGCGGCCTCCGCTGGGCAAACACGTTGAAGTGGGGAAGTGAGTTTAGTTTTACGACGCTTTTAGCAATATTTAAACAATATCACGACTAGGGACACCAAATGGCCCAAATGAGCTTCACACATAATACCCATGTGGGGAATCGAACCCGGGCCTTCGGTGTGGCGAGCGAATGCTTTAACCACTTGGCTACGCCGCCGCGCCCATGGCAAACAAGGCGACCCGCCATATATATATACTAGAGGAAAGCACAGGAACGGGTGATTAGATTTGTTTTTCTTAGTAATTTCATCAATACTATAGCAAAGTTTACGTTACGTGAATAACGACCACATTTTTAATTTAGCAAAGGAAAATATTCCTTAGCAGTTTCGAGACACTAAAATTCGTCGTTACAGAGGCGAAATGTAAACGAGACACATTTTCGACAGCGATATACACGTTAATAAACTGATGTGCAAAAGAAAGTACACAGGTTGTGTTTCTTCCAATAAGATAAAAATAACAAAACCTTTTGATGAAATGGAAAATGTATGTTGAAGCACACTGCAATACACGTGTTTTATCAGCAAAATGACATTGTAACAATACACAGCGATGTAGTGATGACCACTGCAAACGGTCCCTACGATGCTGGAAGGTCAAGGCCATTCCACGCAGCGGTCGGTAGGCCCATACATGCGAGCAGGACGAAGTCGTCTTGTCACTGTGAATCGGCTTACGCGATGACCCAATGATGTGGCTGCTGATGACGTCACCGTCAACATCCAGTTGCGTAGGTGAATAACCCGCAGATAGCGATCCTCTTGGGGTGTTGTGACTCTGGAACGTCCACTTCTGGGTCGATCACATGTCTGGCCTGTCGTACTGAAACGGTTAAACAGCCGAATTATGGTTTGTCTTGTGCAACCCAATGCCCTTGCAATATCGCTGTTGAAAGCACCCATTTGTGTCATTCCTTTGGCCCGTTCTCGTTGCGCCGACGTCAATCTTGGCATTTCCTCGTGAGATTTCTGTCAAGTGATTGTTCAGTCTTCACGACAAACAGGTTTTATACTCTCTGTCAGAAAAAGTGCTGGTGCATGGGACAATAATCACAATTTTGCAAAAATTCGTGCAAAACACGTACAAATGTTTTTGGTTGCATTTTGGCAAATGCAACATGATGGTTGCGTTCTATACAATCAATGTTTTTCAATAATTGTATTAGTTAGAACGCATATTTGGGATTGCAACAACAATTACACCTGTGTACTTTCTTTTGCTCGTCAGTTTATTTTGTGTCAGCCCGATGTTGTCACGAGATCGTACACATGAAACTGAACGACAATGTTGATTAAATATCGCAAACATCAGTTTATAATTTAGCAATTTTGAAGATGCAATTGTCGCTGTTTTCTGATCCGTAACTTCCGAGTTTAGCAAAAATATTAATAACTGGACTGGGAGGGTGGTTACTAATTGTGTTGAATGGTTGTGTTTGTCATTGCCTCTGATAATTGGCCTCTGGATTTTGTCCATATGAAAGGCATTATATTATTGATATTTGTTTTCCGATTACCTATACTGAAATATATCATACCTAGACCTAACAGTCTTGAAGATAACCGTGAAGATCCTGGTTAGAATTGATCTTCAGTAACCCATGCTTGTCATAAGAGGCGACTAACGGGATCGGGTGGTCAGGCTCACTGACTTGGATTGACACATGTCATCGTATCCCAAATGCGTAGATCGATGCTCATGCTGTTGATCACTGGATTGTGACGGTATTATTTACAGACCGCCATTATATAGCTGGAATATTGATGAAAACTAAACTGAGTCACTCACTTGGAGAGATATTTGAATAATTTCAATCAAATGTTTTTGGACTGTTGGTGTGCTTGTAAAATAATGTCGGGTCTAAATATGATAATAATATAGAATACATCCATTATTAATATCAATAACGTATGATTTGTACATAATTTTGCAAAAGAATCATGTATAAACGTTTTTCACAGTGTGATGCAAAAAGCATCAGATTATACCGCTTTTAGCAATATTCCAGAAATATCACGTCGGGGGCACCAGAAATGGGTTTCACACATTGTACCCATTGAAATCAAACCCGAGTCTTCGGCGTGAAGAGCGAAAGCTTTACCCACGAGGCCACCCCGGCGCCCCTGACCCGTCAGATAACGAGATAACGGTGGGATTAGTGTACATATTTAATCTATAAGGAAGTGAGTGAGTAAATATTGCTTAACGTCGCATCAGCAATATTGCAGCTATTGGCGGTGAGCGAACGCTTTAAACACAAGGCAACCCCACCGCCCCACTTTCAGTTAGAAAAAGCGAAGCCACTTGCTATTCAAATAAGTTCACCACGGTAGGTATTCTGAGGGATTCCGGGTCAATGTGAGTTCACAATACCTTGGAGATGAGAACCAGTGGCGCAGTAATTCTCTGTGCAGACCAGAAAACTGTGAGCGGGTTCGAATCCCAGTTCGTCCCAGTTCCAGGTTTGTCTATACCATACCCCAGGGATTTACCAAATGGCTTTTCTTCCATATTAAGCTGACACGCCTTGAAATAAGTAGAATATGGTCATAGAGGCTAAAAGAAGGCGTTCTCTCACTACTTTCCCCTTGTCAAAAGACTAGCTGAAAAGGGGGTCGATTGTCAAATAGCTTTATGTCATCCGACCCCGATGTTTAAATCGTCGCTCTTGTTTTCAGTCACAGGTTGTTTGTTCCAGACTCGATCAATCAGTATTATAACTCGGTGTTATACTACAATCACACTGTCTTAACACTTATTTGCTGTTTTATGCAAACCGCGACAGATGCTAACAGTAGAACACGACATGCTTAAACATTTCGCAAACACCTGCACCCGTATGGTTGATGTCATCTCTGAATGAACAATCCTGAATATGTCGATTCTCCGAAACCTGAATCGACTATGGAGCTCCAGATCGTCAAACAATTCCAACGGGTTCGTTCTGTCTCTGAATATCCGGTTTCTGTTCAAGTGCCGTCTGCGGTGTCGACATTCGTCACCACTCGCCCCTTCCGTAACCTCTCGGAATAACACGAGTTGGTCACGAATGCGGTGTCGATAGACTACGGCCGCCATTGCTCAGCTACGCCTAGGTAGGTGGCGTAACTCCTGGGCCTAGATTTTTCGAAGCTCTCTTAGCCCTAAGATAGTCGTATGTTAATGTTAATGTATGGCTCTTACGACTATCTTTGCGCTAAGAGAGCTTCGAAAATCTAGGCCCTGAACGTAAAGTAAGGCGTAACTTTTCTAACGTCATGGATATGCATTAGGGCGTAGATTTGCGCTTGTGTGCAGTTCACATTTACGCCCGGACTAGAACTAGGAGATATGCATACGGCCACTGGTGTCTGTTTCAGTGGTTATTTCCTACAATAGTCTCAGCTGTGTTGGCTTAAATTGCGCCCAAGAGGATCAGTGTTGGTGGATAATTATTATTCTATAGCGTTGAGTTGTCATCTTTCCATCCATATTAACACGCCTACATGACATGTAATTGAAACCAAGGAAACGTATTCAGTTCACTAGATTACTGAAACAATTATAGTTGTTATGAATCATAAATGCCAAAAGGAAACAACAGAATAATTCTTTTTGTTTCTCATAAAGCAATAAAGCAGCCCGGGTCTGTGGACGAGTGAGTCGAGGGTTCGAACCCCGGTGCGTCATACCAAGAGGCGATGATTTAGCCCTGTCTGGCGTTCGGCATTTGGGAGATACAACTGCTTCGACTGGCCGGGGTCCGTATACTTTGTCTGAATAGGGTATCCATGTTGAACAACGATACGGTGAGTGAGTGAGTAAGTTTAGGTTTACGCCGCACTCAGCAATATTCCAGCTATGTGGCGGCGGTCTGTAAATAATCGGGTCTGGACCAGACAATCCAGTGATCGACAGCATGAGCGTCGATCTGCGCAATTGGGAACCGATGACATGTGTCAACCAAACCAGCGAGCCTGACCACCCGATCCCGTTAGTCGCCTCTTACGACAAGCATGAGTTACTGAAGGTTCATTCTAACCCGGACCTTCACGGGTGACAACGATAAGGTGTCTCAGTGGGGTGTGGGGTAGCATTATAAAATATAATATGAGATATGTCCATCCAGGTGCCATCCATCGCAACACTCTCTGAAACATATCCACCTTCGTAAATGCCACACTATGGAATCCTAGAAGGGACATAGTCACATTTTAAGGCTTTCTTTTACACATCTTAGATGGGGCGACAATGCAACAACGCGACATATTTTGACCCTGAAAAGTGTCCCATTGTCGCGCTTTGGACGAATAAAACATATTTTTCAAAGAGCGACAAATAGCCAAAGTGTTGCATTGTCGCGTTCTTGGTTACTTTTGACACTGTTTGCTTGTTTTGTGAGGGCAACAATGCGACGATGTCCCTTCTAGGATTCCATACCATGCACACTCTTTTGTTAATCAAACCTTTTTGGTTTTATTTTCACCCCTCCATACTTAATATACTGCCCACAAAGAGAGGAAATTGATGAAAGGATAGTGAAAGTGTAATTATGATAAATGTGTAAAATTAGTTTCGCGCGACAGGATCATTTCCTGGTGAATCCACCCTGTTCGTATACCGTATATATTGCTCGCCGTACCGTCTGAAGGGCTACTCCAAGATGAGTCATGTCGGTGGGTGTCGGGTCTCTCTCATACGCAAAACCACAATGGTGTCCTCACAGGTTTATCCTCACTATGGAGGTAGCCTGCAGAGGATTAGGATTAGTGATGTTGTTTTATAGAAAGGGGTCGTCTCATGATTTAGCTGATCTTAACGCATGGCCAAGGGACAGATTCCCAGCTGATAGATTGTCAGACTGACATCAACTCACCAATTATCCATGTTCAATTAATGTCACTGAATAAATTTCATCTTGTTCACAGGTAAATATTACGCAGGAATACGTAACCTTGTCTATCCAGGTTATAAGTTTAGAATACAGAAGTGACGCAACACCAGTGTGCATTGGAGATGTTGCAAGACAGGCTGTCCCGCAACCATCAACACTGCCAATGATTTTATTACGACATATCGAAACACCCACAACCATCCGGCAAACCATAGCAAGATCACAGTGGACAAATTCCTTGCCAATTTGAAGCATATGATCAAGTCTGATACCAGACCCATGCCTGCCCTGTACCAAGACGGTCTTCAACGTAAGTGACAAGTTTTACATCTATAGCATTTGCTTATTTGCATGGATATGGATATTGATAAGAATGGAAACGTGATTTTCAAGACAGAATTGAATCAACCCTTTACTTTTAACACCGTAAACACTTTAAACAAAGTAACATACTCAGTTGTAATAAAAGGTCAACAATGGCATTTGCTTTTTTGCATGGATATGGATACTGATAAGAATACAAACGATATTTTCAAGTCAAGTTTATAACGATGCTTTGATATCATATTTTAGGTCTCATTTCTGAGAAACCAGATGTTGCTGCTATTGCTCCGACATTCTACAGCGCCCAGGCCAGCCTCTACAGATCACGAGCCACAGAACTGCCACCTCTTCCCAGACGGCGATCAGACGTCAACATTCCCGACAACAACATTCAGACCTTGTCCGGTGAAAACTTCATCCTCCATGCTGACGACAAGATGATCATCTTCACCAACCAACCTCCAACACCTTTCCAGAGCCAACACCTTCTATTGCGACGCACCTTCAGTGTAAGCCTTAGTATATACCATCAGCTCTACACGATCCATGCCATGGTCAACAACAAGATGTTTCCTCTGATTTATGGACTTCTTCCAGACAAGAAACAGGCAACCTACCATAGATTCTTCAGCATTACCAAAGAGAAGTCATCAGAGCTGAATATCCATCTTCACCCTGCATTAAACACTTTGACCCTGCAGCCCAGAACGCCATCCAAGACGTGTTTTGGTGTCACCTGAAAGGCTGTTTATTCCACTTCAGGCTGGCTATCTGGAGAAATGTTCAGAAATGTGGCTTGTAGATGCGGTTTGTGACTGACCCACAAATAGCGAAGTCTGTGAGAATTGTGACTTATCTGAATGACCCAACTGTGAACCAGTTTGCGGACTATGTGACACTGCAGTGGATTGAGGGTCCTGGTAGACAGGTGTGGAATCACTTCCACACTGTGGGTGCCAGGACCACAAATCATGTCGAAGGATGGCATGCAAGACTAAGCAAACCTGGCCAGAATCACCCCAACATATATAGATTCATTGACCTTATCCGAAGAGAGCAGAGCCACACTGAGACAACAATGCTTCAGATCCTACACGGTGCTAAGCAGGCCCCCGGTGCAGCAGAAAATTCTACTCGGAAATGGTGCGAAAACTCCAATGGAATTTGTCGATTGCATGTCACATTTAGTTGGACTTTAATTGTAATTCAGTGCTATCATGAAAGGTTGTCCATGCAGTGCTATTCCCAATCCAGTGCTTATTTCTTCCATAGTATGTTACTCTGTTTAAAGTGTTTACGGTGTTAAAAGTAAAAGTTTGATTCAATTCTGTGCCACTGTTGAGTGTGTTACTGTGTTGAAGAATTAAAGTCTTATTTAACTTTGTATCACTATTGCCTGTATGTTCTTCTTCTGCCAGACAGAAAATACTGATACGGTCCCCCAGTAATCCCTTTGTTTGGTCGTTTAATACGCCTGAGTGCTTCAGTGATTGTGAACAAAAGGTGCCTGCACAGTGAGGAGACCCCTCCTCGCATAAGAACTACATCCCATAAGAACTACAACTTAAAGCTGAGCTAAGCTGAGCTGAGCTGAGTATGGTTTTACGCCGCTTTTAGCAATATTCCAGCAATATCACGGCGGGGGACACCAGAAATGGGCTTCACAAGTTGTACCAATGTGGGGAATCGAACCCGGGTCTTCGGCGTGACGAGCGAACGCTTTAACCACTAGGCTACCCCACCGCCCCACAACTTAAAGCAACACATGTTATGGTCCAGTGCACAGATTAACTACATGCTGTCACCTGCGTCTGCTTAATGGATTTGCCCAACACAAAACACATAACACACAAAACACATAACACAGAAAACAAACAACACACACAAAACACATAACACATAACACACAAAACACATAACACACAAAACACATAACACACAAAACACATAACACAGAAAACACATAACACAGAAAACACATAACACACAAAACATATAACACACAAAACATATAACACAAAAACACATAACACACAAACACATAACACAGAAAACATATAACACAGAAGACACATAACACACAAAACACATAACACACAAAACACATAACACAGAAAACACATAACACACAAAACATATAACACACAAAACACATAACACAGAAAACATATAACACACAAAACACATAACACACAAAACACATAACACACAAAGGCACATAACACAGAAACACATAACACACAAAACATATAAGCACACAAAACATATAACACACAAAACACATAACACAGAAAACACATAACACACAAAACACATAACACAAAAACACATAACACACTAAACGCATAACACAGAAAAACATATAACACACAAAAACACATAACACACAAAACACGCAACACACAAACACATAACACAGAAAACATATAACACAGAGAACACATAACACACAAGACACATAACACACAAAACACATAACACAGAAAACACATAACACACAAAAACATATAACACACTAAAACACATAACACAGAAAACATATAACACACAAAACACATAACACACAAGACACATAACACACAAGGCACATAACACAGAAACACATAACGCACAAGGCACATATAACACGCAAAACATATAACACACAAAACACATAACACAGAACACACATAACACACAAAGACATATAACGCACAAGACATATAACACACAAAGACACATAACTTACACAAGACACGCAACACACAAAAACGCATAACCTGCAAAACATATATACACACAAAACACATAACACACAAACACATAACACAGAAGACATATAACGCACAAAGGCACATAACACAAAACACATAACACACAAAGGCACATAACGCAGAAGGCACATAACGCACAAAACATATAACACACAAGGCACATATAACACACCAAGAACACATAACACAGAAAACGCATAACACACAAAACATATAACACACAAAACATATAACACACAAACACATAACACACACAAGACACATAACACACAAAGGCATATAACACAAAAGACATATAACTTACACAAAGACATATAACACACAAGACACATAACACAGAAAACATATAACACACAAAACACATAACACAAACAACATAACACACAAAACACATAACACACAAAACACATAACACACAAAGACATATAACACGCAAAGACACATAACACACAAAGACACATAACACAGAAAACACATAACGCAGAAAACACATAACACACAAAAACACATAACACACAAAGACATATAATACACAAAACATATAACACACAAACACATAATACACAGAAGGCATATAACACACAAAACACATAACGCACAAAACACATAACACACAAAACACATAACACACAAAACACATAACACACAAACATATAACACACAAAACACATAAACACACAAAACACATAACACAGAAAACACATAACACACAAAACACATATAACACAAAAACACATAACACACAAGACACATAACACACAAAACACACATACACACACAAAACACATAACACAGAAAACACATAACACACAAAACATACATAACACACAAAACACATAACACACAAAACATATAACACACAAAACACATAACACACAAAACACATAACACAGAAAACACATAACACAGAAAACACATAACACACAAAACATATAACACACAAAACACATAACACACAAAACACATAACACACAAAACATATAACACACAAAACACATAACACAGAAAACACATAACACACAAAACATATAACACACAAAACACATAACACAGAAAACACATAACACACAAAACACATAACACACAAAACATATAACACACAAAACACATAACACACAAAACACATAACACAGAAAACGCATAACACACAAAACACATAACACACAAAACACATAACACACAAAACACATAACACACAAAACATATAACACACAAAACACATAACACAGAAAACACATAACACACAAAACATATAACACACAAAACACATAACACAGAAAACACATAACACACAAAACACATAACACACAAAACATATAACACACAAAACACATAACACACAAAACACATAACACAGAAAACGCATAACACACAAAACACATAACACACAAAACACATAACACACAAAACACATAACACACAAAACACATAACACACAAAACACATAACACACAAAACACATAACACACAAAACACATAACACACAAAACACATAACACACAAAACATATAACACACAAAACACATAACACACAAAACACATAACACAGAAAACACATAACACACAAAACACATAACACACAAAACACATAACACACAAAACACATAACACACAAAACACATAACACACAAAACACATAACACACAAAACAATAACACACAAAACACATAACACAGAAAACAACAACACATGTATAACATTTTTGCTGCGGCAGTTCATGTTGGTTTTGATAGTAAATAGTTTGCCTTCACAAGATGTAAATTTCCAGTCTTTAGTTATGATTGAACAAGTTCCACATCGAGGTGTTTGACATTTTGTTACACTGACTGATAAACCTTTTTCATAATATCACTTTTGTACAAACTTGGCAGATTTGCTTTTATAATGGGCATAATTGTACAGTTATTACGATTGTAGGTACAAACAAATGGCAGAATGTCCATATCTGTGTTTTTTTCTTTTGTTTTCATAAGTGTCTCTCTTGGGACTTTTATTGCTTTATGACAGCATTTTCAACTACCTAAGAAGATATGTCTAATATATATGTTACATATGACCTATTGTCATTAACTGTAACGTCATATCATTATCTGTACATTATCTATTTAATGAATTATGCATGTTTATAAATATATTAATACAAAAATATCTCACCTGTACATCATGTACATTATCAATTTAATGAATTATGCATGTTATAAATATATTAACACAAAAATATATCACCTGTACATCTGTACATTATCAATTTAATGAATTATGCATGTTATAAATATATTAATACAAAAATATCTCACCTGTACATCATGTAGCCATATTACTTTAAGCCGTATGTATCACGGCTTGGTATATCTGCAATATTGTAATCTTGGGAACCAATAAAAAAATAAATTTATTTTATAAAAAACTGTAACGTCATACGCATGATGACGACATAGCTACTACCGTTATGCGTCGCCTATGACGACACTTAATTTTCATTGTACACGTGAAGAGCCGTTGAACGGCGAAAGATCTTGTGCATATAAAGTCTGGAGTTTTATATATAGATGTATAGATAGTTCATCTATAGATAGGCTTATATATTTAGTGTGATAATTTAGTGTCACTTTCATCCTCAGTGTTCAATCTGATCAATGTAGAACTAGTTTAGCCCAGCTTCAATAAGTAGCCAAATGCTTCGAGGTCCTGGATTGCAGTCTATAACAATACTATTTTAACTCAAAAACTCATTCGTTTATATTTCACCTTTACTCCAATATACCTTAACCTTTACTCCAATATACTAAGCTTGGCTTGTTCTTTTTCTATCATATGAATACAAGAACATTACTAACTACAACATAACCTTCTCTCTTGTCCTTTACTTTCTGGTTATTAGATTACCTTTACAACAACATAATTACTGGTCAATAGGATTTTAAGCATATAGTTCTTCGGTTGGGAGAGCTGATGGGCTGTGCCCATTACATGTCATGGGGGTGCCTCTACTCAGATAATCAATCCCTAATTTACCCCTGTAGTTAATTTGGGATGTAGTTCAAATGGGATGTAGTTCTTATGGGAGTAAACCTACACAATCCGCCGGAGAACATCCCACAGATGATCTCTATTGGGGTCATGTCAGGGGACCTAGCGGACAAGTCCAATATCCGTACTATGCATCAATTATCGGTGACAATCTGGGCAGGATGTGGTTTTCGAATGTCGTTTTGCAGTTAAAAAATTCTGCAGATAATTCTTGACAGTGACCATTGAAAGTTTTCAATTCGGTTAAACGCATGAGCACCAGTATGCCGTATACGAATATAGAGACATAAACTACAGAGACAGGGATTCGAACCTTCAGTGATAAGTACTATTCCTGTCCTCCTAAAGGACGAACTGTGCTGAACTAAAACGACTGGGCCTTAGCGTGGACTCACGTACAGTTCACATTACGTTAAGTTTACTTCATATGCTCAGGGATACGTGTGATGCTGAATAATGACCTCTGTTTTCGTCATGGTATTCCCTTTTTAAACTGATTCAGACTCCGATGGCCAATTGTTCTGCTTATGCTGTTGAATAATATCACCGGTCAGAACAGACCCCGTTGCTCGTCTCCACGACTGATCA